AAGATGGTCCAAATCTCATGTGAGGTCTCTGACTTTTGTGTTGGCGCCTCCTGGTGGACTATGTGTAAAATGCCAGAATTCATATGATGCTGCTACAGCTGATACTGTATATATTTGTTGTCAAAATACCTTTTAGTACATATGTTGTTAAAATAAAATGAACAGTCCAATGATCATTTTACTGATATGTATAAAGACTGCAAAGGCTGAAAAATCTTGAAGTCTGAAATTGGAGGTAGTTTGAGGATTAAATTTTTTATGCTTTTTAAGCTCAAAAAAGGTGGGTTCGTATTATACAGGAGATTGTATTATACATGAATAAATATGGTAAGTCTTACTAGAAGTCTAGGCCCCTTAGTTTTTTAACTACTACCGCATGATTTTGTTTTGTACATTGTTTTGAAGGCACTCAGTGCAAAGTCATAAAGATGGGTCAAAAATATTCTTGGAGAAAAATCAGCTCAATTTTTTTCCTATTGATGAGATTGATGAGTCTAATTTTAACTATAACTGCACCGCGTGATTGACAGAACCAGGGACTTTGAGTAATTCAACATRGCACCCTGATTGCTCAGCAGCATTAATACATTTAAAGCTGAAATTTGGTGAGGTGGTACCTGAGAGCTAACTCAACACATTCTGAATGCTAATCACAAGTGTARGCTAACCACTAATGTTAATTTTTAAGAAAAGCATTTAAAGACATATAAAGCTGTCTCGATTTTAAGGCCGTAGCAGTCAAAGGTCACACATTACATTAGATAGGTCTAATGAAATAACAGAACAGCCAGTTTCTGACATAATGAGCTAAAAATTGGTATATCRATATCTGAGACTTAGCTTTTTCAAAAATAATAGCTGAAAAAAAACTATTCCAAGATGGCCACCAAAGCTATTTTCAAAGGGCTTTGATTCAGCTATTTTTCAATATAATAACCTAAACATTGATATACTGATTTGATTTGATTCGGTTTGATTTGATTTATTTATTTAACAGGAAAAGATTACTAAAAATCAAGCCTGACTCAGCATTATTGCTGTTTTACAG